ACAGCAGCAAGTGATAAGAGAAACTTCATTGAATCAAAGTAAAGAGATTAGGAAAACTTCAACAAAAACGTGAAAGACAAATCTCTAAAACAAGTATTCGAATCTCTCTCTCTCTCTCGTGAATCTCTGTTGCGTTTCTGTGTTGCGGCTGTCTCTCCGCTGCATTTTTTTTTCTGAAAAGATCCAGGAAAAAATCTATTTAAAGGCCCACGGCGGCTGGCCCAAAGATAGGGTTGCAAAATTAGGTTTAGTGAATATTTCCTTAAGTTGATCTTCTGGAGAGCAGGTGCTCCCTTTCCTGGGGCAGGTGCTCCTTTCTGGGCAGAAACTTCAAAAGATCCACATTTCCTCATTTTCCGCCAAATCCAGTCCGCAAGCTCCAATCTTTGTTTCCAGCAACTTTTATACTTAGAATGACTCGAAAGAGAACGATAGACTCAATAAAATCCTACAAAACAAAGGTTAGAATACGCCAAAAACGCATTATATCAGTTTGTTTTGGAATTTTTTCTACAATAGAAATTTTAAAATTTGGCCGTAGTATGGGTAAACAAAACATCAAAAGTTATAATTCAAGGGAGAATTTCAAAAATGCAATTTTTGAAATACCATTTAGCAAAAATGTCATCATGATTTAGCAAAAAATTTTGAAACCCCAAAAGTAAACTCTAACGTAACATAGTTAATCCAAACATAAATGATATAATATTAGTGACATTTTTAAAAAGACTTTAAAATGATAGCATTTTTGAAAAATATCATCCCCAAAAGTAGTATTTCTCAAAAATTCTCATAATTTAAAGAATATACTTTTAGTTATATTTCTTTCCATATTTGGAACAAATCTTTAAAAATTTTAAGGAATTTAATTTTATAGAATTTACATAATTAATTTTTTTAATCATTTGGTTATTTTCTTTTCTTGCTCTAACTCCATTTTTAATTTTTAATTACCTCTTTTTCTGTCTAAGATATTAAATTTACAATTTAAAAAAATGGATTATAAATGCATATCTAAAATTGATTTGTAAAAAAATTATAATATTAGTGAAGAAAATTTGGTAAAACATAACATAATATATGTTTTTAATTTACTTAAAATGTTGTCAAAATTAGAAAATTAGTTTGACACACATGTAATCTTATATCTTATAAGTTATAAAAATGCGATGTATATGACATTAATGTAAAACAAATCCAATTTTTATTAATAAGATTTTCAATATATATAGGGGTTGTTGCCAGCTACTGGAAAGACCCAAAAAAAAAACATGGAATTTCGTTTTTCTTCGTGAAGATCTATCATATATCGTCTTTTTCTCTACATTTCCATGCAATTGGATTATTCAATATAAATTATTTGCTCCTTTACGCATATGTATCAACTTTGAGTGCATTTGCGATATATGTTGTATTTGCTACGTTTCAGATCATCAACGATGTTTTTTCTCTTAGAAATTTCCCTTCTCTTGCATCGATTTTCTCGGCCTATGCATCATTGACGGGTTACATCATGATGATCAAACCAGTTTTTGAGATGACAATTCCTCCTCCGTTACGAAGCTACATCATCTCCTATCTCATGTCTTACTTCGACTCTAGTCCACCGACTCTCACGCTCATCATCAACAAGTACGAGATCAAGAATGGGATGTGTAATGAGTTCTACGGGGCTGCACAAGTTTATCTCTCGACCAAGATCAACCGTGATGCGGCAGAGCTAAGGATCTCTAGAGACCGCAGTGAGAAAAGCGTAAATTTATATCTTAATGTAGGAGAGGTTTTCTCCGATGTCTACCAAGGTATTAACCTCAGGTGGCAGCTTTTTGTTAACAACAAGAAGAGCACCGATTTTGGGAAAATCTTTAAGGGAATCCTCCATGAAGAATGCTTCAAGCTGAGCTTTGAGAAGAAACACAGTGACTTGGTCTTGAACTCTTATGTACCTTACGTGGAGAGCAAGGCAAAAGTGATAAAAAACGAGAGGAAAATCCTCAAGACGTACTCCTATTGCAACATGACCCTAAAATGGAAATCTGTGAACCTCGAGCACCCTTCAACCTTTGACACAATGGCTATGAACGACGAGCTCAAGCGTAAAGTGATGGGAGATCTTGATCGGTTCAAAGATCTTTACAAAAGAGTTGGGAAACCTTGGAAGAGGGGTTACTTGCTGCACGGTCCACCTGGGACCGGGAAGACTAGCCTAGTTGCGGCTATGGCTAACTACCTCAAGTTCGACATTTATGATCTTCGGCTAGCAAGCGTAAAGGGGGAAGCTGATCTAAGGAGATTACTTCTCAGTACTACAAACAACTCGATTCTTCTCGTGGAAGATATAGACTGCTCTAAGGATTTGCCTACACGGTTGCAACCTATGACTCATGATGATTCTAAGGTTTGGTCTTCACATAGATTTTATTTTCATAAAACACTATTCTTATATATACTTGTTAAATTTCGTGAAACACTGGCCATTTCATAAAACACTACCACTTTCGATGTGAGATTCCTAACAAACAATATGTGGATCCATAGGGACAAGCAGCGTTGACTTTATCAGGGCTCTTAATTTGCATAGATGGGTTATGGTCTAGCTGTGGAGACAAACGCATAGTAATATTCACGACGAACAACGAGAGGCTTGATCCTGCATTGCTTAGGCCAGGTCGTATGGATATGCACATTTACATGGGACATTGTTGTTTCGATGGATTCAAGACTTTGGCGTTTAATTACTTTGGCTTGTCACACTATGATCGACACCATCTCTACCCGGAAATCAAGCGATTGATTAATGGACAAGTGTTGACTCCTGCTCAAGTTGCAGAAGAGCTAATGAAAAATGAGGATGCTGATGTGGCGCTCGAGGGTTTGGTGAGACTTCTCAAGAGGAAGAGGTCAGGGGAAGAGAAATATGATGATGCATTTAGGAAGAATATGGAGAAACTGGAAGAGGGAGAGGAGGCTTGAGGAACCTTTCCTTGAGTTACAACCTTTGATTTAACAATACTAAAGACAAATATATAGGTTTTGTTTGGTTTAGCCAAAACAAAAAAAACATCCAGGCTGTTTGTTTATTTATCAGAATATTAAGTCGAGATTTCTAAGCTTCAATTAAGAATTGACACTATGCATTTAAATGATGTTCGTTTCTAAAGTCAGTTTAGAATTATTAATACTCTAAAATTGAATC